TACAAAAACTGCAATCTAAAAGTATACTAATATGTAAAACCTAAAAAATCGGTTTTTGGTCATCTGAACGCGGGTGGAGCCGCGAGCAATGCTAGTTTTAAATAATTTTCACTAAACTATGAAGAAAGAAGCAATAACTCTGACAGACGTTTTAATAAGAGAAACAGTCGGTATAAATAATTAATTACATTATTTACAGAGAGTGTAATAATAAATTAGCTTTCAAATATTTCCTTGTAAAGGAAATATATAGAGAAGAGCAACTTCAGACGATCATATAATTACGTACGTGTGAGTAGCTCGAAGATAAGCCGTTAATAATTAAAATGATATATTAATTGAAATGGAAAGTACTTTCCATCTCACGCTATCCGTTAGATATGTACTGAGAATTAATCTGAACCAATTAGTATATAATATGAATTGAGTTATATAGAAAACTAGCGGAAAACTAGAAAAACAAAACCAAATCTATCTCACGAGAACCGTAGATTTTTTCGGGATAAAAAGTAGCCTATGTGCATTTCCAGACTATAATCTATCTCTGTGCCAAATTTCATCCAGATCCGCTCAGCCGTTCTGGTGTGATTGATTAACAAACATCCATCCAATAAAATTTTACACTTATAATATTAGTAAGATATTAAGTTAGAAATAAGACGATCAAAAATTGAAATTTTTGAGAACACTCATCAACGCTGAGGAAGGTGAAAGAAAATTTTTAGATTATTATAAATATACATACGTACATCCTTTAAGTCTTAAGTTAATGTTATGTGGTTAGTGTTTTAAGTAATTGTGATGCTGATATCACCATTATTTAACATAACTTCGGCTATACTTAGGAGCATTTATAGAGTTAGAAGCAGCAGCAGTATCTTTGGATTCCCTCGAACAATCGAAATAAAAGCTAACCATGTTTTGACTTCACGTAATTATCTCAACAAGAGAATATATGTTTTTGTAATCTTCATACGATTCGAAGAGATTAGATTAAATCAAATATGGATAAAAAGAGATAAATAACCCTATAATCTATAGATTGTGCTCTAATTTCATACCAAATACGTATAAAAAATATTCTATATAAAATATATATACGGACAGGATATAAATAAAATTTACATTTTTTAATTAGGTAAATGAAATTTTATTTAAATATCGGTGTAAATAATTAATATAAGTTAGATGTACTATCTCTATCGTGCTATACTTATCTGATTGTGTTTACTTTTACTTTCTAGATGGACTCACATTATTTTTAATGGTATGCGTTCATGCGTACTAAAAGATTTCTTTATAATTACTAACATGTTTCCAAGTATTTATGGTTTATAGCTTATAGTTTTATAGTTATACATAGTTTATATTGCTATGTAGAATTATATATATGTATATATATATATATATATATGTTTATATGTATATATATATATTATATATATATATATATATATATATATATATATATGTTTATATGTATATATGTTGTTAAAATGTAAAATGAACTCGATGAATTTGAAATATTTATGGCAACCCAAATTTCCATGATTGTCATAAATACAATCAATAATCGCTATTAATCTGACAGGTTTTATTGCGGAAATATATAGTAAGCGAATAGGATGAATACGCAAAATTACCCCTAGAATTTCGATAGGAAATTGGGCTAACAATGACGCGTCGTATACGTCTATTGTGCTCGCCATCTGTCATTGAGGGTTCAATCACCACTGTACTTGATAATATTAGTCTACCTTCATACACACAGGGCACCAATTGTGCAAAATGAGCTTTATATGAAACACGAACCAATAAATACTGGTATGCGCACGCGCTTCGAAAGTAATATAGCTATTATTGAAGTCTACGTTTTTTGTACTCCCCACTATCTAAGTTTATTTATTAGTCTAGCAGTAAAATCGTTGTAAGGGGCACAATTTACGACGCAGTTCTTTGTGGGGATCTATGATGTCTGTCAGTTCCCTTTGTTAGTTTCTCGTTAAGTTCGGGTTGTCGAACGATTTCATTACTGCACTCTATTCATCAGAAATAACTCGGCTTCAATCTAGCTCATATATGTAGACTTCATTTCATTCAATAGAATTGTCATAAATTGTTGTACGTATATGTGTGTATGAAAATATTATCTATATTGGGTCTTTGCCTTGACTCATGAATTATTAATAGCTTGGAAGAAACTTTACTGATAATGACTTACAATTTTTTAGTTTTAGACAAAAACTAGAAGATACTGCTTGAGTATGGACTTCGTTTGTTATTTATTTTTAAATATGCTTATGTTGATTATAGTTTCTAGATTGTTCTAATACTGATATACGGACATAGGTACAAAGGAAAAATAGTAAAATAAGTTACTATTTAAATTTATTTTACTTATTATACTTAATTCATTTTCTATAGTAATAAGTAGAACTTATATTTGTGCTGTATAAAATAATTGAACAAATATTTTCCAAATATTATGTGAACTCAGTAATCACTAATCAATAAATGAATTTATCACAAATAAAAAACTCATAAAGTACAGGGCAAGTTTATAGAAACCAGTAATATAATACAATGCCCTAATATGATTATTACACATTTATCGAGGGTTGCATTGATTCAGATGGTTTTATTGTTGTACGAATTATGAATATTTTATGGCTTATCCACTATTTTACTTCTCATTGTTGAGAGCGAAACGGTTCTCCATAGCCCATTCCGGTCATTCCAAGTGAACAGCCGTGCCCGTAACCTCTGCACAGACAGCGATGGTAGGACGCAAATTGACTGTTATTAGACCATATCTTATTAAAATTCTGGAACAAATCGTTTGATATATTTTCTATGATAAAGATATCAAAGCTTCTATTGCACGATTAGTGGGCATTGTTAGATTAATGTCGGTTACCGTGTATATATATTGCCCTGCTTGAAGGAAGATTGTATCAAATAGAAAGTAGTTTTATCATTTTTGCAATGATATATTGATTCTGTTTTAAAAATCAAATTGAATTTCTTTTTAGTTTTTGACCGATTTCAAAATGGACTCGATTTTTGTATTTATTGTATGTGCATGTTAGGTGATATCTTTCTCAATTACGAACCGAATTTCATGATTATATTTCAAAGAACGATTATGTATTAAAAGCGGGCTTAAAATAAAATAATTAAGAATTTTACTAATAAGACTTGTAGGTTAATAAATTTTAAAGAAATTTGAATGTTATTATAAGAAAAACGGTCCTTCCAGCTCTCTTGATTACCAAGACTGACCACTGAACATTTGAGTGGACAGTTTATATATTTTAATTTTACAACCGTATATCCTAAGGCGATGCAGCTCAGCCGACTGATTGTTTTAGCGATAAAAATACCTTTTTTACGATATTGTGTAACCGACCGTAATTTAGCTGCTTCTAAATATCGATATTGACGTAGTTTATACTTACGGTACCATTTTAACGGTATAATAATCGGATTGTCATGATTGGATACAAAAAATCTGGTCACGTGCAATTGAAGATAATCGGAAATAATCACATTATAGGAGCCTGTGGATGTTTGCACGGCAGGGGATCGTTGTTTAGTTCATACTCTTGCGTTACTTGTTTATATTTATTGCAACTGTTTTAGTCGAGATACGGTTTATCTCGATGAGAATCGTAACATTTAAAAGAAATAAAAAAAATATGTTTAAACAAACAAAATATATTAGCAAAAAAGTTTATATAACAAAAATTATGTAGTAAATTATTTAAAAAATGGGATCATATAATAATTATGCACAGAAAGTTCAAAATTTTATTTTTATTAATTGTCCCTATGTAACTACTGTATGTTTTAATTGAACATAATTTGCTTCTTATTTATCAAGAAAATATTAACTTTATCAACGTTTGAACAAGATAAAAGAAATAATTTAAATAACTAACAAAAGAGCGTAAAATATGATGGCAAGTGTCTAAGCTCATCTTTTTTCCTCAATCAGTGTAAATTTTCAAATTATAGTACCTATGTAGGGGAGCGGGGGGCACGTTGTTACAATTTTTAGATAATTGTCAATATGACAAAAGCTATCAAATAATTTATACATTTGATTGCTTTTATCGTTAGTATGTCTATTCAGCTATTAAAATATGATTGAAAAGTTATTAAAATTCATGTATTTTTTTCACAATCGACAATTTAACCAAAAAAGTCGATTGTAACAACTTACCCCCCACTTGGGGCTAGTTGTTACATCTTCGGGGCACGATGTTACGGTAGATAAATAAACAAAATCATCAATTATAAATCTTTTTTTTTATTATTTGATAACGTTATAAACAAAAGAGATCACTTTATACAGTCTTCTAACATTTATGAGTAATTATAATATCTATATCGTAATTTTTGAAGATTTTTTTTTTGTAGAAAAATAACATAACTTTGGCAGGAACTTTTTTAAATCTTATATAAAAACACAGAAACTTCGTCGGCAAATAACAACTTATAGTAAATTATTTATACTTATTAGTTATTTTAATAAACTTTTAATAAACTAAAATACTTTGGATTCTAACATTTTTTAAGGTAGGTACTTATATTATAGAAAAATATATAGTTATTTTTATAGAGGTAGGTAACAATATCACATACTAATATTAAATCAGTCTTCATCAGAATTGCAATTAATGCAAATGAATGAGTGAACGTTTCCCGTTACACATTTTACATGGGCCCACATTTTGCATTCTAAACATTCTACCCAATCTTCTTTTTTTGAGGTGCTGTAACTTTCGCTACATACTAAACAAAACCATTCATCAGTATCGGAATCCGAGTCGGAAACCAAAATTTTTTTCTTCACCTTATCTTTACCTTCTTCTCTCATTTTCGAGGACTTTCCTTTACCTTTTCCTTTACCTTTGCCTTTTCCTTTATTTTTGTCACATGTTTTTTTGGTCTTGGCCAGTTTCTCTTCATGCTCTTTTTTTAATGAGTCTTTTTCAGGCGTGTCGTAACACAGCGGATTTGCGTTTACGACGAGTATGGATGGATTGTTTTCGAGCTTCTGCCTTGGGAAAGGGTCTTATTTTTGAAGGTGAAAAATTTTCAAATGTACTTGGACCTGGTATCGATAATTCTATTTCATTTTCTTTTTGAAAATTTGGCGAATCTGGAGTCGGTAATGTAGTTAAACATTCTATATCTTGCGAACAAAAGGGATTTGGACAAGGTGAAACAGTAATATTTTTAGTAGTGTCAGGTATAAGATTTGTTGCTGTTTCGATTGCCTGTATGATTTCAGTGGTGCTTATGTTCAGTTGAGGTGCAAAATCTAACAATTCTGGATTTTCCAGGTTCAGTGTCAAATTGGAGATGTTCTGCGAGGACGTGGGACACTCTATTTCTAGATTGGGGCGATCAGTGACATAAGAAGGTGCATAGCTACTGTCTTGAAAAATGTCAGGATTGAAGGGCCATATTCCTGTTGATCAAAACCCATTCATGATATTTGCAGGGTTTAGGGCCAAAGGCAGTGTATCTTTTACCACGGCAGGGAGATCATGAATCGTCATTGCTTTTCCTGGATGATTATACATCCAAGCTGTCTGTGCTCGATTAAGGTGGTTTTTAAAAGGACCATAAACTCCTACATCTAATGGTTGTAAATTGTGAGAGCAGTGCGATGGAAATGACAGCATGATTATGTTGTTAACTTTGGCTTTCTCAACGACGTGAAAATTTACATGTGAGCTGTGGTTATCCAGCAGGAGGAGAACGGGCTGTTCAGTGGAAGGCTTGACATGTTGAATGAAATGATCCATAAATTTTAAAAATTCTACTTCCGTCATCCATCCCGAAGAATTGCCCGCTCCAATCGCATCTGCTGGTCCAGCGCGAAGAAAAAGATCCGTGTATCTCATTCTGGGAAAGACGAACATCGGCGGAACGGAATTTCCAGCACCATTTATGGCACATGCAAGTGTTATAAGTGTTCCTCTTTCGGCAGATGTGATCGCACCGACCTGTTTTTGACCACGGGCAGCAACTATTTTTTTAGGCTTCTGTACCGTCGTGACACCTGTTTCGTCAACGTTCCATATGCGTGAAGCAGTGAATTCATATTTTTGGAGTAAGCCTTGCAGTTTGTCAAAAAAATCTTTAACGTTAGTTCTGTTGAACGACGTTGCTCTGCTTAGAGATGTAGCTTCTGGTGTTCGTAGAGATAGTTGAGGATTTCTATCCATAAAACTTTTAAACCAGTCTGGCCCAGCCATATTATTTTTAAGCCAGCTGGGGGGAATATTTTTTAAATCGAGTTTTACAGCACATTGGTAAGCTAGTTTTCGAACTTCTATTGGTAGTAAACCAAAATATATTTCCGAACATTTGAGTAGATAGGAAGCTAATTTATGTTCTGTTTCTTGTGAGAATACCAATCTAGGTTTAACGTAACCCAATAAACAACTTTCGTTGTTTTTGTTTTTTCTGACATATCTGGATAAGGACATCGGACACAAATTAAACATTTCGCTTGCTTTACGAATGCTCGTTTTATTCTGCTGTACTTCTGCTGCAGCAGATTCATAAACTTCTTGACTAGTTGTACCCCTTTTTGTTTTTCTTTTATAGTTTCTCATTCTGAAAAAACAAAACAGAATAATTAGAATCTTTAAAATAAGGTATGGTAATTTTTTGGGGTAAGTTGTTACATATAACAACTTACCCCAAAAAATTGTAACTACCTGCCCCATGGCACGTTTTTTAATATAAATTGAAGTCACCATTAATAGATATCGATAGTAGAAAAAAACAATATTGCAAATTAAAGGTAGATATATTATGAACGTTCAAGGTTAAAAATTTTGGGAAAATAAAAAATATAGACATCAGGAATCAAAAATTTCGGAAAGGATTTTTTTACTTACTTGGTTGAAATCGAGGCACATGCACACAACCTAGCAGCTTGACGCTTGGCGGGTCACTGATCGTTTTTATGTAATGCACGATGTTATAAGAAAACAAATGAGCCCAATTATGTCTACCAAAGAGTTTAAAATCCCGGTAAAAAAGGCGTGTAACTACTTACCCCTGCAACAACTAGCCCCCCGCTCCCCTACTAGCGATTCACCCTCGCTTCGGGACCCTAATTCTTTTTCTAAAATTAAAGTAACCTAAGTTACTCCTTATAACATTAGCTATCTCTTTGTTAGTCCCATCAAAACCAGTCCAGCCGTTTCGGAGATTAGCGGGAATAAACAGACAGACAGACAGACAGACAGACAGACAGACAAAAATAAAATAAACTGTTTTTCTTGTAAATACTGTATATAATTTCATATACATTTAATAAAAAGTTTTTATTTCGATATTACAAACAGACAATTCAATTTTATGATCTTTTTAGATTAATAAAAAAAAATTGTTTATTGTAGAATAAAACCTCTGGAGCTGATTATAAAAATTATATCACGTAAGAGCAACCGGACACGAGAAGTAGTAAATAATAAAGAAATCCCACAATAATAAATAGAATCAAAATAATATAAGAAAAAACTTTCTACCCCTTTACACAATCCATTCTGTTAAATTAGGTGGCAGTTGTGTAATACATATGTTATCTTATCACAACGGAAAGGTCACTGTATAAATTCAAACTTCCTAACAATAAAATTAGTGCTTTGATTTTACCCAAACAAAACTTATCAACAGCTACCCTTCGGAATTTTATTTTTAGAGTTATATTTGATAAAATGTTGTCCTTTAAAACTACATAATATTTTAATTACAATAAGGCTGAATAATTTTTCATTATGGGGCACCATAGAGATAACACCGGACCAGAGTTTAAGTGAAGTAATTAAATAAATAAATATGTTGGGACATTAACACACAGCACCATCTAGTTCCGTGGTAAGCTGCGAGGCTTGTGTTATGGATACCAGATAGTTGATACACTACACATATATAAACTTTAAATACATACATATTATAAATATAAACACCCATGACTGGAGTACAAACATTCGTGCTCATCACACAATGAATGCCTCCAGCGAGACTCAAACCCGCGACCGCTGGCACATCAAGTAGGGTCACTTCACACTGAGCCAAACGTGTCGTCTATTTTTTAATTAATATTTAATTAAATTAATTTACTTAATTTAAAAATTTGCTAATTTACGAGGTATTTGCAAAATTTAATATTTCTTTAAGTATATGTTAACCTCCTCCTCCTCTCCTCGTATTTTTGTAAGAGATAAGTTGGGCATCTCTTCAAAATGAAGCTACTCACGGAAAATTAACTTGATACTAATTAATTGTAAAAATGGACTAGGGATCCCGGACTATCCCCTTTTATATTGTTATTAGCGACTTACTTAGGTGAATTTTGTTTTTGTAATCTGTACTAATATTATAAAGAGACAAAGTTTGTTTGTTTATTTGTTTGTTTGTTTGTTTGTTTGTTTGTGTGAACACACTAATCTCAGGCACAGGAACTACCAATCAGATTTGAAAAATTCCTTTTGCATTAGATAGCCCGATTATTAAGGAAGGCTATATGCTATATATCATATAATATATAGTCGATCTATTCTATACTAACCGTTAAAACGTACCTAGGGACGAAGCCGAGCGCAAGTAGTATATACAAGCAGACCTTTTGGCGAATTTTATTGCATAGTCTGTTTCTAAATTTTATACACATCCGTTCAGCCAAAAGTAAGTAGTAACAAATATGTAACACAACATACAAATTTTCACATTTATAATAGTAAAAGTTAGGAGTCCGATATTATAGCATATTAAATTAAATTTTATTAATTATTTTCATAAATGTACATTTCAGTATAGGCGAGTTTACGAATATCTTGTCAATCTTTTACACCTCGATTTTTGACTTCGGAATTCAATTTTCTCAAACAAAATTACGGTTACCGACCGTCACGCAAGAAAGAGAATGATCATAAATCTGTATTGATTTTAGTACTTTCGTCGTGTCATACCGATGAGTAAAAATTACTTTCATTTCCTATTAATTTATAAGACAATACTTCCTTATATCGTTTTTTTTTAAATATTCCAGCTAACTTTTAAAACTTTTAAATTTAAAAAATTTTGAAAGGCTTATATAAAACAAATTTTGAATATCTATGTGCCATATATGTTTGTAATAATGAAAAATACCAAGTTGCACTTGAATAACTATAGAACACTATAGAAAGCCCACACTGAAGCCTTTAATCTGTACTTATCTGCGTAAACCTTACATTGCTGCATTCCATACGGTATATCCGTATCCATCAATCGTCCTTTTGGCTGACCTTTTCACCTAGGAACTTTATCCAATTCCGTGCACATAGCAGAAAATATTTGTAAGGCCTCAAAATTTTAAATGCTTTATAAATATATTTTTTTAAACTAGAATAACCTTGGTTCTGCAGTTTTTTAAAGTGGTAAATATATACGAAAGTTACTTAGTTATTTCTATTGTATTCAGGAGGTTAAGACAAGACGATAGTCGGTAATCGTTTACGAATAGAAATCTAAGAAAATAGTTAGTTTTAGTTGGTTCGATTAAGGATTCAGGTAAGCTTTTAAAAAAAATGTAGGTATTGTTATTATTTAAAGCAAGATAACGTTTCTTTTGAGTAAAATTTGTTATCTTTAATATTTAAGGTACTTTTCTTTTATGTCCCATCCATTTGTTCTACTCTGTATAGGGAAGACCTATGAATCTACCTATATGAATATACCTACTAGACATTCTATATACTATCATCATGTCCAAGTCCACTGTACCAACCAAAGTATCATCGAAGTTGTATAGATGGTTTACCGTTTAGGAATACATATAGTACCCTGCAACGTCCCATAGCACTGCGGCGACGGGTCCGCTGTGGGTTTAAGTGAGGAGTCTTTCAATACATTGTCTCCATGATAGGTTTCCCCAGCGTCATAAAGTAATACATATAATACAAAGAAATTGCCATACATACATAATTTTTTAATATATAAACTACCTTGATCTTTGTGAATTAAAAATAACAAATGGTAGAATATTTAGGCACAAATTCAGAATTGGGGACATGGCCCCTGGCGAATGGGTGGTATTTCTGGATAAGGGACGTGATAGGGAGTCGAAACGTTAAATAAAATTTTTAATACAACAAAAGATTCAAAAGTTATTGAGACTTAAAGTTACAACATTTCCATACATTTTCATATATTTCTTTACCACCATTCGGAGTGGGTGGTATTTTTAGATAGGGGAGGTGACAGAGAGTCAAAATATATTAAAAATATTTGGAGGAAACGTACGACTAAAAAGTTATTGAGACTTAAAGTTATAACATATCTAACACATTTCCATACATTTCTTTACCTAAATAAGTGATTACAACAGATAAACATACCTTTAACGAATAGTACGCATCCTTTTTTATGTACATTACACATTTTCACAACAATTAATGCTTTATTGTATTTAATATTTTAATAATTTCACAACACAAACAAAATGATCTTACATTTTGACAAAAGCAAAACTGACACTTTGTTTTATATTACCGCTTAAATGACAACAGATTATATTTGATTATTTTTGCTTTTTCTGTTGGTAAAATATTACTATTAATAAATAAATAAATAAAAAGAAAAATATTATTTTCACTTTATAAATACATTTATGACTTTTTATTTGATTTATGTAAAATATATTGTTTTACAATTGTACATTTAGTAAAAAAATCATTTTTTTTATCTGTGAATATTTTTAATTATTTATTTATTATTCGTCATATCTGGGTTAGGTTAGGTTTAGAACATTTAAGATTATTTATTTATTATTCGTCATATCTGGGTTAGGTTAGGTTAGAACATTTAAGATTATTTATTTATTATTCCTCATATCTGGGTTAGGTTAGGTTAGAACATTTAAGATTATTTATTAATTATTCGTCATATCTTGGTTAGGTTAGGTTAGAACAGTTGCCACAACGCACGAGCCGAGCGAGCGAAGCGAGCGTGCCGCGGTAGCGGCCGGCGAGTGCCATAAATGACTAGAAAACTAGAAAATTCGAATTTCACGCAAAGTACAAATAAAGACAATCATCTGGAGATCATTTTGACAATTGAAAGTGACGTTTTGACTCCAAGTGTCTAAATGGTAGTAATGTCAAAATAATGTATGGAAATGTTATAACTTTAAGTCTCAATAACTTTTGACTCTTTTGTTGTATTAAAAAATTTATTTAACATTTCGACTCTCTATCACGTCCCTTATCCAGAAATACCACCCACTCGCCAGAGGCCATGTCCCCAATTCTAAATCGCCGCCAATATTTACCTTTGCAGACGACACTTCAATAATATTTCATGGAAAAACTTGGGTTGAGGCCAAAACAAATACCGAACTTGGAATTCGGCATATTAGAAATTGGCTCAATCAAAACATGCTTACACTTAATATTTCTAAAACTAAATATATGCCATTTGCGATCACTCAGCGGACACTACCTATTGAACAAAATTTCGAAATTCAAATGCACTCTTGTCGGAATGGGAATTCTTGTCAATGTAATACACTAAATAGAACTAAAACTATACGTTATCTCGGTGTTTTGTTAGATGAAAATCT